TTAAAGAAATAATATAGAATTAAAAATATATTGTAAAGCACAAATTAGTATTACATAAACTTTTTTAAAAAGGATAATTTATATAATACAACTTAAAAATTATGATAATTTTCTTTAGTAAAAAAATTTTGTATATATCTTATATAGTGTTTATGAATATATTTTTATATTTATAAATATTTTTATAATCATTTATGTAACACAAAACGAATTCTTTTTATTATGACTATAAATGAAAATTTATAGTCATATAATCATAAAATGACTTACAAATTTATATTAAACTTATGTTGTGAAATTATTTAGAAATGCTTAGGTTACATTTATTTATTATTAATATATAATGTATATATTTAGTTTTTTATAAGTTGTCTTTTTTATTATTAGATAATTTATATAAATAATAAAAATATATTTAAATATTATAATTTATTACTGAAGCTATATACATATTTTTACAATGATATGAATTTTTCATTGCTATTACATAATTAGGATTTTTCCATTATTGCATTAATCTTTTATTTTTATTAGACTGTTTAATTTATATTATATTATATTGACATATTAAATAAAATATAATAAATAATATATAAATTTTCATTATGTTGTCAAATAAATGTGAATATATTTGTTATCTGCATTATATGATATTAGATAAAAACATAATAATATATGAATAATATCTATAATTATTTAAAAGATTAATTTGTTTTAAATTATTTATTTTATTTATTATTTATTTACATTACTAAATTCTGTTTCATTTACATCATAATCCTTCATTTTATTTTCTAAGATCCACCATTTATCTAAAAGTCCAAAATCTATCACTCTTTTATGAAATGTTAGATATTGTATTTTTAAGTAAGGACAAACAGTTTTATATAAAGAACACATATTATCATAGTCATCTAACCAAATTAGAGAAATTATACCTAAATTCATCCGTCGTATAATACCTTCATTATAACATTGACCTAACCATTTTACATAATGTTCAGATATTGGATTACGTATAGCTTCTCCTACTTGCATTATTTTCATGGTATTTTGTAATAAATTTTCTTTAAAGGTACATTCATCTGGATTATGTCTATATAAGTACACACAGGATGCTAGAACTAATTAAAAATAAAATTTTGTTATATTAAAAATATTTTATAAGAATTAATATATATATATATATTAATTCTTATATATTATATATATTATAATAATTTTTTTCTAATCATTTATGTTATATTTTAAACTTTTACGATTTTTTAAAATAAAAAAATAAATAAATTAACTTTTTTCAATTCACCAATATTAAATTTCTTTTTATTAAAACATAAATGAACTTACGAGAAAAATATATAGATGTTCTTATAGGATGTTCCTTACAATCTTTAGCAGCACCTAATGCTGATTCTTTGTAATCTATATAAAGATTCTTCCAATATAATCCTATAAATAAAGATATATTAAATTAAATTAAATTTTTTTTAATATTACTTGATTTTAGTTTTAATATTGATTTCTTTTTTATTAATATGTGACATTTAGTTACCCCATCGTTCAAGAAATGTTCCTTTGAGTTTTTCTGGTATTTTAAGATTTTTTGTCTTATTTAAAACATAAATAGGATTTATTAATTTTAAAGTAAATTTGTATTTTTGAAATTGAGTAAAGTAATTATAATTCATATTCATTGAACTTATAATAATAATCTTGAAATAATTATTATTTAAAACATTTTTCAAGTTATGACAGATATTAAAACAGATACAAGATAAACTTTATACTGAACGAAAATATTAAAATTGAGGTTATCCACGTGTCTGAAAGAAATGTATATGAAATATGATGAAATGATTATATATAAAAAATATTTATACATGATTATTTATATTTAAAAAAATAACGTTTACAAATGTCTTAATATATTCTTTCTATATATAATATACTAAATTATACATTATTGCAACAATAATTTAACTTAAATATTATGATTTAAAAAAAACTTTAAATTGTTTGAAGTAAATAATTATGATATAAGAATGTATAAAAATATTATATCAAAATATCAAATTAGAAGTTTAAAATTTAAAAATTTATTTACAAAATGCTGTAAATAAAAAATTCATAGAACAATGATATTTGATTTAATAATTTTCAATTCAAAAATTAAATTTTGAATAATGTTATTATTCTAATAAGTATATAAATGAAAATTATTTATATTTTTAAAATAAAAATAGATATTAAATATTATGATGTGAATATGAAAATAATAAAAAATATAAAATTGAAATTATTGAATTGAATTATTAGAATTGAAGAAACTTTATTGATTTTTATCATTACCTTAGTTGATTATATCATTTTTAGATTTTTAATATCTTTTCTAACCTTTAATAAATTTTTAACGAATTTTCTATATCTTTTTTTATTTTATATTTAAATTTTTAAATGCATATAAATTGGAATATATTATTTTTTGTTTAATTTTGTGTTTAATTTTGCTATATTAATTATAATAAAATCAGACATTTAAATTTTTATTATGTGAAGTAACACGTAATATGTGAGAGAACAATATGAAATCTGTTACTACTTATATGCATATAAATTATTGAAGTACATATACATATAAGTCTTCTAATTTTAAAGACGATGAAATATAAAATAGTATCAAATTTATGTGATATTTATATTATGATAATATTTATATTTAATGATAATTTATATATATTAGAATTGAATAATATATGAAAAATTTAATATTTAATAATTAAATACAAGAATAAGGTTTACAGTTTTTTATATTAAAATAATAATTTCATATAAATAATTATAATTTTTTAAAATTGGCGTTTCTTTTTCTCAATTCAGGTATAAAAATTTAATATTACTTTAATTTAATTTAAAATTTTTAATTGTTACAAGATTATTTTTAAATATTAATGATTTTATATAAAGAATTAAAGAAATAAAAAAATCAATTATTTAGAGATGATGTTAACAAAATTAGAGATAATTAAAATTATGCAATAAATGTTTTCTTTGAAATTACAGTAAATATTAATTTTTTGTTTTAAATTAACTGATTTAGAAAAGACTAATTTAGAAATTTTATATAATCATTTAAATACAAAAATTTATTACATTTTAAATAATTAGCTCCTATAAATATACTATACTATTTAATTCAAGAAAAAAATATATTTGTTATAATTTCAATGAAGAATTTATTACATTTTATTTGTTTCATTCTGTATTTATAAATATTTAAATAAATAAATAATGATATAAAATCATGGAATAAATGATATAAATAATTGGAATAAAATATGGAACAGAATATAATATTTATAAAATATGATATGATTCACAATAATTTTAAATGAATTTAAGTTATTTTAGTAAATATATATATATATATTATTACTATATTATTTACTAAAATAATATATATATATACATATACATATATATATTTTTACATTTCAAAAAGATCAAAAAAATATTTGAACATATATATTATTTTTATCGCCATGTTTTTGTGATTATTATTTATCTGCCTAACTCGAAAGTGTTGTAATCGACATTATCGATAACATTATTAAATAAATTTTTATATATTCATATTAATTGTAAGATTAAAAGAAATTT